CCCCTCCTGAGCTGTGGCAGCAGGCTTTTCTCCTCCTCCTCCTCCTCCTCTTCCTCCTCCTCCTCGTCCTCCTCCTCATCCTCGTCCTTGTCCTCCTCTTCCTCCTCCTCCTCCTCGTCCTCCTCCTCTTCCTCCTCCTCCTCCTCCTCATCCTCCTCCCCTCCTCCTCGTCCTCGTCCTTGTCCTCCTCTTCCTCCTCCTCCTCCTCTTCCTCCTGTTCCATCCAGATACCCAGTCATTGGATTGCGCTACCCACATTTAGGGTGGGTCTCCCACATGCCAAGCATCTCTGGAACTAGCAAGGAAATACTTTACTAATTAATTTCCCGGGCATTTCTCAATCTAATCAAGTTGACAATCAAAGTTAACTATTATAGCTGGGGTCATGGATATTAACCTCCTTTTCTTTGTTTCTTCTTCTTTTTTGTGGTACTGGGAATCAAACTCAGGACTTTGCGGTTGTCAGGCAAGCACTTATGCTGCTGAACTATATCCCCAGCTCCCAACCCTCTTCTCTTAATGGTTCCCAGAGGCAGTCCTGGTACTATGTAGAGTCTGATGGTGAAGTAGAAGGAGGCATCTATCTCTGGAGATCTGGAAAGGACATGCACACTGGCCCCAACCAAAAGGTGGCACTGAGCAGGGCAAAGACTTGGGACTGGGTAGAAAGATGCCTTGGTCCATTTCATTGTGCCAGCAATGTATCTTACGACCCTGAGCAAAACCCATCCCTCTCTTGAGCTCCACACTGATGCACACGTGGAATAACAGAACACACTGTCATGGCATCTGGCTATGGCCCCATCTTTTAGCTCAAACCAATCAGCCTCATTCTCTCACTTTTAAAACAGCTCATATATAAGTGTTTACCTCGGCAGTTATTTTTGTGAGAAATAAGATTATACCTGTAAAACACAGCACAGCAATGACTCCTAGGAGATACTCAGATGAATGCTTTGATCAGAAAAGCAGGTCTGACACTGACTCCAAGAGACTTTGGCTGGTGCAGCCCACCCAAGGAGTCTCTTCTGTGTCTCTCAAAAGTTGCTAAGCTTCCGTTTGGATGTGTTGAGGTACTTATTAGGTTTGTTGGGTACCAGATGGTGTTGACTCCCATCTGTGAACTGGGCCAGGCTGGCCCTCTTCAGATCTGTATCTGCTGCCTTTGGGACACTTCATGGCTGCGACAGACAAGGCTGTGCGCCTGAGCCAGCGATCCACTCTGCGCCCTCTGATTTCTCCACCTTTCTCCCCTGCTTGGTGTGCCTGCAGTCAGAACTACTCCCTTTATACTACTAGTATCTCTACTCAGCAGCCATGAGTGCCTGACTGCCCTTCCCACTCTCTCCTTTCCCCTTGAGACATGACTCATCCTGACATTTGCACTCAGTGGATGCCTGTCCGCCTTTGCCTCTCCCCAGGTAAGAGCACCCTCTGCTCATGACAGTCACCCTGAGCTGGGGACTGGAGGGTCCTGAAGACTTACAGGAGGTAGATCGTCCTGGCAGTAAGGCAGCTTAGCCTGCAGGGCCCCTTCCAAGGCCCTCTGCTGCATTTTAGATTATTTTTTCTTATAAAAGGCCCTCAAAACTTTAAAGCTGGAGGCCTCACAAGACTTTGGATCTGCCAGGAACAATAGCAGATGCCTGTCATCTCAGGAGGAGGAGGCTGAGGCAGGAGGATCTCAAGTTTGAGGCCAGCCTGGGCAACTTAGTGAGACCTTTTCTCAAAAGGGAAATTTAGAAAGGACAAGGAACCACACAAGTTCAAGCCCCTGTCTCAAAATAAAAAGTAAAAAAGGGTTAGGAATGCATCAAGATTTTGTCTTGTTCTATGTTTGATACACATTCATCTTACTGTTTCTCTATTAAGAACTATTTTTTAAATGAGGTTGATTATTGCAGCCCTTTTTACAATAAGACTATACTCGAACAGTTCTGAACTGTACATACTATATGAAACTGTCCTCTGAAGGGGTTTCTTGTTTCAATGTAGAATTTCACATTTGACAATGTCCTATAAAAAAAGATTAAATTCCACCCTTAAAAAAAAAGCCCAAGGGCCAACAAGATAGCTCAGCGGACTAAGTGCCTGCTTAGGCAAGTACAGAGACTGTGGTTTGATCCCTGTCACCACAGGCCATGCTGGCCTTGCCCTCAGGCACGCTGAGCCAGCAACTGAGTCCAGGCGTGGTGGCGCGTGCCTGTAATCCCAGTGCTGGGGAGGCTGAAAACAGGAGGATCGCTACAAGTCTGAGTTGCATAGTGAGACTGCACGCCTGCGCGCGCACACACACATGCGCACACACGCGCCTAGAGTTCAATCCCTAGAACAGCATAACAAAAAAAGAGCTAGAGCGTGGGCTCCTGCTGGCCCGAACTCGCCCAAATGCCTGTCGCAGGGGTCTTGCAAGGAGAGTGACTCATGTGAAGACCCTGGTGTCAGCTCACACACAGCCTGGGACAGCAGGTCCACAGCTTGAGAGGTCGGCTTTTGAAGTTGTTATTTTAAAACATTGGATCCAATTAAAAATTGTTATAACTGTTCAAATAAATACCAATTCTTTCTTTTCTTTTTCTTTTTCTTTTTCTTTTCTCTTTTTTTTTTTTTAGGTACCAGGGATTGAACTCAGAACCGTGTGCTGGCCAGGCAGGCACTTATTCCACTGAGCTAGCTCCCCGGCCCTCCTTTCTAAATTGCTTATGTAAGCTGACTCACCCATTCCTGTCACGATATGATGTTTTTCACATAAAAACTGTTCAGTCTTTGTATTTATACTCACAGATGAGATCAAAATTATAATTTTCCTATTATACAGACCTCTGTTATGGTTTTGGTGTCGACTTACTGAATGAGTAGGGTTTTCTCCCCTCAAAAAGTATTGCTGGGTGAAATTACACACATCTGTAATTCCAGCACTCTGAGAGGCTGAGGCAGGAAAACTCCACATTTGGCACAGTCTGGGCAACTTAGGGACTTAGAAAGACCCTAAATTAGGAGCTCAAAAAAAAAAAAGGGCTGGGGATGCAGCTCACGTGGAGACCTTAGGTTCAGTCTCCAGTAGGACACGCACGCACACACACACGCACACACACACACACACGTTGGAATAATTCGTTCTTGCAGTTTAGGTAGAAATCATCTGTAAAGACACTTGTGGTTTTAAAAATTACTATTATTTTTTAAGGTAAGATAGTATAAGATAATATATATAATATAAGATAGGTTGATGAAAAGGCACAGTCTTCTAATCCAGAAAGACCTGTACTCAAATCCTGATTTCCCTGCTTCCTTGCTGTGAGGCTTTGGAGGAATTAACACTTTAACCTCATTTTCCTCATTGACGACGACTCGAGCCTGGGGTGCAGTGAGGACTGAGGCAGTGAGCACAGGACAGGAGCCTGATGTCAAGCCTGGGTTTGGAACAAAGCAGGGCCTACTTATTTTTCTCTTCTGGAGAGCATCCAAGGCTTGGGGAGCACCAAGCGGCAAGGGGACAGAGTCTGTGCAGAAATGCAACACTCAAGGGTCACTCGAGCCAAAGCACAGGCCCATCTGATCACCTCCAAAGCGCAAAAACTAAGGCAGGTGAGCAGGGGTGCCAGAGGCCCTGGCGCAGCACCCGCTGCTGAGGAACAAGCCAGCCTCCTGCAGAGATCCCGGAGGGGATGTAGCAGTGGCAGGACACCAAATGAGGCCCAAGGAGAGGAACGTGTGGATGCTGGACATCTGGAGTGCAGCTGGAATGGGAGCCCGACTCTTGCTGCCAGGGGCGAGGACGGCAGGGGTGGCAGGAAACTGCTGGGAACGGGGACTGCTACAAGCAGGGGGATCAGGGCCCGCAGAGTGTGGGTGTCGCCACCCCACAGTGTAGGCACAGACAGCAGATGGAGGAGCGGCTTGGGACCACGTGCTTTTGAGGGGTAGGGCAGGCCCCAGAGGCTGCACCCTAAAAGTGCTGGGTTCAGGCTTGGGAGTGCCATTTTCTCAGGAAGTTGATTGTCCAACTCCACAGGAAGGAACCCTTAAAATCATCGATCGGAAAAAGCACATATTTAAACTTGCGCAGGGAGAATATGTGGCACCTGAAAAGATCGAGAACATCTACGTCAGGAGTGAGCCTGTGGCACAAGTCTACGTCCACGGGGACAGCTTGAAGGTGAGGCCCTCACTCCAGCCAGCTCCGCACACGGCCCTCTTGGGGCAGCAGACGAAACAGCCCTCCAGCTGGTTTTGGGGTTTGGCTAAATGTGTTAGATGGGGCGAGAAAATTCCTTTCTACAGAAGTCCTTTTTTTTTCCATTCTTCCTAAAGGAGAAGTCTTTATTTATAGAGTTTGATAAATTGCAGTTAGGGGAAATAAGTTACTTAAAATAGTAAAAATAAACATTCTCATCACTTTTAAACTGCTCCATTTGCTGTTAACATGCCAAAGTAAGATGTGAAAGCGAAATTCAGGATTTCTACCATTTTTTCAAATGTGTAAATAAACTTTATAGATCAATTGATGTAGTATTATAGACGATGATATTGTGATGGTGATATGACTTACTAGGGCCAGATGTATGTGATATGTATTTTGCTGTCAGATTGATTACAAATATATTCTATATCAAAGATATCAAGTATACTCCACGCTATCATTGCGTTTATATAATTAAATACAAAATTATTTTTGAAGAAAAAGCTTTACTTTAAAATGTTATTGGGGCCGGGGATAGCTCGGTGGTTTAAGCGCCTGACTGGCAAGGACCCAGGTTTGATTCTGGTACCAATGCCATGCCAGCCCCGCGCCGTGCCTGCTACAGAAACCGGGCATGGTGGTGCAGGCCTGGAATCCCAGCACTGGGGAGGCTGAGACAGGAGGGTCACTAGGAGTCTGAGTTGCATAGCAAGACCCTGTACCAAATAAATAAATAAATAAACAAATCATTTAAAAATAAGAAAAGAAAGCTCTTTATGAATGAGGATTTATTGATTTTGACAATTTCAAAATGATGTAGAAAGCCTGGGAAACATGTTCAGTTCATAGAATTTGCTTCGTGTCATTTGTATTGTTAGCATCTTTACGCTATGTAGATTTAAGGTTGGCCTAAGAATCAAGGCACGTGCCAGTCTACTTTTACTCATGCCTGTGACGTCCTCACATGTAACCCCCAAAGGCAGGGGGCTATCTCAGGAAATGCGTAGTCAAAAGAGTATGAACCATGGATGGAAATGTTTCAGTACAAATGAACAAATGTTTCAAGCATACGCTTAATTCAGAGCAGTCTGGAGGCGGGGCATGCCGAGAGCTTGTGTTCGGTGCTAGACCACAAGCCACCACTTCAAAGGCTTTTGTCCTGACTGCTTTCCTCTGGTGGTTACTGCAGGCTTATTTGGTGGGCATTGTAGTGCCTGACCCTGAAGTCATGCCCTCCTGGGCCCAGAAGAGAGGAATTGAAGGGACATATGCAGAGGTCTGTAGAAATAAGGTCAGTATCAGTTTGCTGAGAAGTTATTAAACATATTGTGATGCCACATAATGAAAGGACGGGAAAGCTGTTAGAGCAGTGACATCTGAGCACATAGGGAATTTTTTATATTTATACGTGATGGAAATCCTGAGCCCAAATGTGTCTTTTAATTGTTGTTGAAAAAATTCATAATTCTTACAAATTTGATAAGCTGTCAAATTTTAGAGCCAGAAGGCATCATAGGAAGTTTAGCTGACCCTTCAGTCTTGCAGCTGAAGGAAGATGGCGGAGGAAGGAGTCGCGGGCCCAACTGTGATCAGCATCTCTGATGGGAGCGCAGCCTCCTGGCTCCCTGCTCAGGATTCTTCCAGTGGGAGGCCGGTTTCCAGTCTACTGCGTAGTGAGTTCCCAGAGATAGGAAGGGAGTTCAGACAGTAACAGCTCATGGGTGTAGAGCAGTAGCTGTCCTCACCCTGGACAGCTCCTGACCTCCACTAGAGGAGCCTGGCCTCTGCCTCAGGGGCAGCCTCAGGGTCCGGGTCCTTTCTCTCTCATGGGACGCTGGGCTCATCTGGGCATGCTGGGACTCACCAAGCTGCTGTAGAAGATGAGTGGTCCCCTTAGCCCACTCACAGCGACTCCTGTGACCAGGAGGGCACCCCTTGCCTTGAGAAGATGGTAATTGGAATCACAGGCTTCCCCAGGGTAGCAGGCATGGGAACACGGGTCTGCATCCCACCACTGCTTTGCACTTTATTCAAAACGTGTTGCTTCTACTACCTCTACTTTGGAATGTGTTCTTGTCTTTTACCTTTACCTTTACCTTTGTGTTCAATTCAGGACCTGAAGAAAGCCATTTTAGAAGATCTGGTGAGGTTAGGAAAAGAAAGTGGCCTTCATTCTTTTGAACAGGTAACTGCCATCTTCCCTATACTATTGAGGCTTTGGTTATGATGAAAATTAACTCATGGTGACACCAACCTAGATTCCTTACCCCTTGTGTGTGGCCAGCCAGCAGGCTGAGTACCAGTGGACCCCTGAAGGCCTGTTTCAAACTGACTGCCACAGCCACCTTCCGAATTAAAATGGGTCATGGACGAGTGAGACTGCTTGTTGTCCTTATAATCACAGGGTTGCATAAGGCTGAAATATTATCCTTGCTGTCACGGGGAGATCATGTGGATCTGGTCTGTCTCCCAGGATGCCTGCAACACTGAAGACCAGAGTCCCGTCTTATTTTTAATTTTATGGGGACTGTCTCCTGGCTGCCAGGGCCAGGCTTGCTTACTAGAAGGCCACGGGAAAAAGATTGGGTTCGTCCCTCAGGCTGGTGATCTGTCAGCCCAGCACGCCTTCTGTAAGAAACAGAAACGAATGCTGGCCAAGGGGAGGACAAGCTGTGCCCTGGGGTCGTCAGTCTTCATGAGCTGGAGCCCTTGACTGCAGCCCAGGGTGTCACTGTGTTGGTCCTGCTTATGTGTGTGCATCTCTTTATTCAAAAAGTCGGACAAAAATTCCCCAAGCAGAAAAACAGTAATGCGCTGATTTCAAAATTTTTGTTTTTAAAGCATTTGTGTTTCATGAAATGCACACTTCATAAGAGTTATTTTTCATAAAGTTTTGTTTCTTCAATGATTGTGTGAGGAGGTCTAGAAGGCTTGTGAGAACGTAAAACCCTCTGTGTTCATTTGATGATAACCTAAGAATATTTAAAAATTGGTTTCGAGTATGAAATTCTTGTGGTTTTTATAATTTGCAATTTAAAACCATTTCCACAAGTTTCAATTTTAATTTTTTAACTTCAACCTGAGTAAATCTGAACACAGTTGTATAATCTAAGCATGTTTGCCTTTGGAATAGATGTTTACATTAACCAGGTTTGAGAAATACTGCTGGACTGTCATCTGAAAGTATGTTTTAGGGCAATGAAATTTGGGTAAATAAATCTTCACCTTAAAAAGTTCTGAAGTGAAGGCAGTCAGAGAAGTTCCATTTATTTCTCTTTCTGGTCAATTTGGGCATAATACATTGTTGCTCAGATTTACAACTTGCTCAAACTGATTTTATCGTCCTTCCTTATTGGGGAGTTACATGGCTGGGTCATCGGTGGCCCTGTCTGGGCTTGTGTGGACATTTGAAGGGCAGGCCACATTGCTAAGCCCTGTGGTCCCTCTGCTGGTGAGAGATTGTGTGACCTGCAACCTCGAGTCTTCTTCAGGGAAAGAATAAACGCTTCCCTGGCAAGTGCAAGGGCCTGAGTTCAATCCCTGGTTCCGCAAAAAAAAAAAAAAAAAAAGAATTATCGACTCTTAATATTGTGCTTAACAGCATGCTTCTTCAACTAGGCCTCTAGTGTTAGCCATTGCCTTTGTTATAGCTTTTCTGAGAAGAAGCATAGTCTCAATTTTCCACATACCTTAAACAGAGTCTCTGCTCTATTACCTGTTCTCACCGTGCTCATCTCAGTTCCTGGGAGCGGTGGCATCGCAGAGGCCTTTAGCTGTATTCCCCAGGTGGCCACCTCTGGATTTTCTCGTCCGCATTTCCCTTTGTGGCTCTGAAGCAGCTCCCCCACTGCAGCCAGGGTCACCAGGCCTTGGTGTGCTCACAGCTGTGAGCCCCACCAGATGAGAAATTGCTTCTCTTAATCCGTAATCCATTATCAGCTTATCCTTGCCCCTCCTCAATGAAATGATCAGTTGAGGCTTAACTGTCAACACACATAAAGTCCAGTGTTGGAATCATTCATTAAAAGCTTTAGAAATTCAGGCTTTCTATGCTGGGCTGATTTGCATTAAAACTTTGAATTAGAAAAGAAATGATGCACTATAAAATTGATGCAGTAAAAATATACTACTGTAGAATATAATCTCAGAAATAAGCAATTTCTAGAATTGGGCTAACCAGTATTAATTTATAGAGGTTTATGGGCCTTGCTGGTTAGCTCAGTTGTTTAAGCGCCTGCTTGGGAAAACCCAGTCAGCCGCACAGGACTGTGGTTCGATCCCCACCTTCACATGCCTGACTAGACCCACCCTTAAGGCAGCCTGAGGCAGCCAAAAAAAAAAAAAAAAAATTCCTTCTCAATTTATAGAGGTCTTTGTAAGATACATTTTAATGAATAATTAGAAAGTATTTATAGTAGTTATATTAATAATTAACACAGGTAGGTAATTGGGAAGCATTTCAGCATATTTAAAACAATGCTTTAATGTGTAGATGCCTTATAAATTTTCATAGGCAATACAAAATGAACTTTGTTTTTTGGGTTTTTGCTTTTTTTTTTTTTTTTAGAACTGGGGATTGAACTCAGGCCCTCGCACTTGCCAAGGAAGCGCTTATTCCACTGCGCCATCTCCCCAGCCCCCAAATGAACTTTGAAACTTAATAGATTTTTCAAATTCTAACTAGTAAAACCCTCAGTACAAATATTTTATTATACTTCCTCCCGTTGAAATGAATATGTACCTGATAAATTTCCCTGATCAGAAGTGATCATTTCCATAATCATTTAAAATTGTTTTACTTTATCTCTTCTATCCTAAATTATTTGCTGTTTACATTCTAAGTGCAGTATTGTGTTAAAGTGTTTCAGTGAGTAATACCTTTGAAAACCTGGCTTCTTGAAAAATACAAAAAAAAAATGACATAAATGAGCACGTTAAGCATTTTGTTCTGAAGCTGTATTGAAATGTTAGAGTACTTCAGAAAAAAGCTTAAAGCCCTACACAATCTCTTCTCAACAAGAATATAATTTCTAGAAAATTAGCTAGCATTTCTTCTTTCTTCACAAAAACTTTACTTATTAAAAATGGGAAAGCCAGTTTCATGTCGTCATGGGATAAATGGAGAATGAGGATTCTCATACCCCCTTCTTTTTCTTTTCTTTTCTTTCTTTTCTTCAGAATCCTGATTAATTTGGTATTGTGAGAAAATATATAATCACTTTAGGAAAGGAAATGTCTTTTATTGTTGATTCACTTCTGAAAAAAATACAAGGGTGGGGCCCATGGTTATGGTCAGTACTAAGCGCCTGGTTCAGCTCATTTTTCTGACTGACTTTTGGTCACTCAGGCTGACCACGTAAGTGTTGTGTGCAGGCTTGAAGAGGGTCCCTGGCTGTAGGGAGACTAGGTCAGGGCCTGGGAGCAGTGCTGCTCTGACCTGCTCATATGGGACCAAAGTGGGAGCCGAGTTTGGGCCGCTCGCTCTGCATGGCTGCTTTTGATAAGAAAGTCTTTTCCCAGGCAGAACGATTTTGTAGAAAGTCACATGGAGCTGCAGCTGTCTCACTTAAGCCCCTTATATTTGCTGCAGGTAGCTGGAAGATATGCATAATCTACCTGTTGCACATTCTTTTTTCCAAAGGTCAAGTTTTCTGTTACAGCCTGTTCACTATCCACATGGCACTCTGTTGGTCTTCTATGGCACTCCTCTGCCCTGTACTGTAGTTTTTGTAGCTTCTGGTTGTCACTGACCGGGTACACAGTGTTTCCATGGGACAGGCTCCTCCCCTAATGCTGCCCCCCTAGAGCTGTGAGCAGGCCAGAGAAGCTGCAACCCAGTGTCTCTGCAGAGACACTGTGGGAATTACAGCTTGGCATTTGCATCTTCTTTGTAGAATCATGTTAGTAATTTCATAGGAAAAAGCAGATGGATCCGCAGGCCGTGTTTACCAAAAGGCTTCACATGCACTGTTTCTGTCAGAAGAGCACTATGTTTTAAGTTAAGGATATTAGCACTGTCAATTTTTTATTATTTCAGTTGACTAAGTATGAGTTATTATTGCATTAAATCACTGAAGCTAGGATTAAATATGATTTACATTGTGTTGATATTTTCTTTAAACTAATGGATTTTGTCACCAAATAATGATTTCCAAACTTTTAAAAATCAAACTTGGGTGACATCTGGTATGAAAGTTGGGCCGTGTCCCTCTGATTGCCCTTGGGCTTGAGCTAGAGCCTCTCCCCTCCCCTCCCCTTCCCTCCCTCCCCTCCTTCCCTCCCTCCCCTCCCTCCACTGCCCTCCCTTCTCTCCTCTCCCTCTCTCCCATCTCCC